TGCTGCTGCTGCTGCTGCTGCTGCTGCTGCTGCTGCTGCTGCTGCTGCTGCTGCTGCTGCTGCTGGAACCAGAGAAGCAGGACGTGCCCAATACATGGGATCTGAGTAAGTCACAGATACTGGGCACTGAGTGCCTTAAACCATGGGATTTCAATTGTGTTTTCATTGTCTCTGTGCCTGATTCTTCCTTCTGAAGAAAAGGAGGTCTATAACTTCTTTATACTTGACTAGAGCCTATGGTTAAGAGAATTGGATTTTTAAAGAGAGCTTGGATTTTAATGACTGCAATTATTTCAGGGCTATGGGACTTTTACAACTGTACAGTATTTTATGTTACGATATTAAGAAGAGATCTTGAGGGCAAACAATAAAGGAAAGGTTATGATTATGAATTTAACAGTAATGTGTTTGCATGTTGAGTTGATAAGGGGTTATGTGTGATGGCCAATCTCCACTGTCAACTTCACACACCTGGAAAGAGGGACCTAAACTGGAGGAGTGTCTCTATCAGATTAGCCTGTGGAAATTAATATCGGCCATATTCTTGATTGCTAACTGAGACAGAAATGCCGTGCCAACTGTGGGTGGTGCCATTCTTACACAGCATGGCCTGAGGTATGTATTAAATGTAGCTTAGCAAGCCAGAGAGATCAAGTCAGTAAGAGATCCTCCGTGGTCTCTACTTTCCTGCTTCCAGGTTTCTGCCTTAGCTTCTCTCCATGATGGATTACAACGTTAAGATGAAACAAATCCTTTCTTCCCCCAAGGACCTTTAGTTACTGTGTTTATCAGAGAACAGAAAGCAGACAAGAACAGTGTGACGGGGGGAGGACACAGGAACAGCTGAAGGAAGCATGAGGAGGAGGACGACACAGGAAAGGAATATCTTTCACTCTCTAGATGAGGACAACCTACATTAGACGCTGGACCAGGTGAAATGGTCATTTCTTTGTCCTTGGAGTATATTATCTTTTTCTGAAGAATGGTTACAAAGAGTGAAAGAATAAGAAACTGGGTCCCTGTTTTTCTACCTAGAGTCCAGATTATGTGACCTGAGATGATCAGTCTCTACAAGGCCTTACAGCCCACTGTGTGCATGGTTTGAGTGGTGAACACCCCCCATTGCTTCATCTGGTTGAGTCCTTGGTCCCCAGCTGGTGGTGTTGCTTGAAAAGATTTGGGCTCCATCAGGAGGTGGATCTTCCCTGGAGGAAGTACGTCACTGAGGAAAACACTTAGGCCTTGGAGCCCAGCTGTTAACTCAATGCCTCCTGAGGGAGGATTCAATGTGACCAACTGGCTGCCTGCCCTGGCTAAGACACCTTCCCTGTCAGCTGCCATGTCTTCTCCACAATAATGGAATCATCTCTTTAATCATAAACCACAAAAAATTCTTTCTCAAGTAAAATGCTTTGTTAGTTATTTGGGCATAACAATGAGAACAACAACAGAATGCAACAATTAAATAATAGAGTTTCATCGTTGCTTTTTGACCTGTAGGAAGACCCTTCAAACTAACATTCTCTCATAGATATCCAAAGAAAAGGAATAGCCCAACCGCTCCTCGACCCTCCCATTAGATCTGGTCAGGAATGCCGTTACCTACCACTGCCATAACCTTGATCACTCGGACGGATGTCCTCACTCTCCATGCCACTCCCAGAGTCATCTTCTTCAAGATCATCAGCATCTGGAAGGAAGATAGTGGGGAGATGGATGTGACCAGGAATGACCTAGCACCACAGAGACCATCGCTTTGAAGGCTGTTCTCCTCACCCAGCTCATCTGCGATGTCGTCAGCATCCATTTCGTTGGTATCTGGAAGAGTCAGTGGAGAATTGGATGTGACCAGGAATGCCATTACCTACCGCTACCAAGATCATCACTTTGAAGGTTGTTCTCCTTACTCATTTCATTCTCAACACTGTTCTCCTCCAAACTGTAGAGACCTGGAAGGAAGAGAGTGGAGAGGGTGACTACAGTGGTGAAGCCGAACTGCCTCACACAAGAATAACCTCAGTTTTTCTTTGGCTCACATCATTTGCCGAGAACCACAGTAGAAGTTTAAGTGTGTTTTTACATTCTGTGGCTGCAGTTCTACTGATGAACTAGGGAGATGAATATTTCACATATCAAAAGAACAGTGTAAGAAATCTTCATTCTTTTTATAAGGAAAAGGCAACATAATCTACAACTACTGTCGGGAACAAAGCAATTATTGAATTGTCATTACCAACAGCAGAGCCGCAGGATTTCTCCACTAAACGCACGGTCCCCATTTCTGAGATTCTGCTGTCCTTATACGATTCAGTGTTAATAAAACCCGCTGGTTTTTCCACAGGAGCAACTGAAATGCATTCACCACAAAAGGGGTCAGTAGGACAGCAAGCAGAAGAGGCAAACTAATTGTTGTTCTGTGTTTTAACATTTATCTCATGTAGGTAATGGCATTCCTGGTCAGATCTAATCGGAAGGCCTAGGAGCAGTTGAGTTATTCCTTTTGCTTGGGTATTATTAATCCTAAGCACATTCATTTGATTCAGGATGCTATTTTCTGGACGATCACAGACATCACTGTAAAGTACCAGCAGGTGTGACACGGTCAGTGTAGGAAAGGTCTCAATTCACGTGGATGTGGCAGTATTGACAGAAGAGAAACTGACTGAGGCTACAGTCGGACAGCATCCATGCCATTGCACAAGCTACATGAATCCAGTGAAATTTGTAACCATTCTTGGCACTGTGACACTAAGGTTCCTAAGGACTCACAATATGCCTGATGAATCTACAGGAACAAATAATAGAAAACTTCTTTTTAAGAAGCACTTGTCCTTTAAAAGTGTTTATAGTGTTTGGTAAGAGCCAGAAGCAGCAGCTAGACAGCAGGAGTTAGAGCCACTGGTGGTCTGTGTGTCTCAGGATAGGGGACAATGGTTGTTCCTTCTTAACTTTACCCAACCAAGGTGTTTTACGTTCATGGGAAACACGTGATACCATCTTCAGGGACAGGGCAATCTATCCCTCTTACTTTGAACCTGCAGATACTGTATTAGTTACTACTTTTATGCAATGTGAACAAATTTCTTGACAGAAAAAAAAAAAAGATGGGGATGGATACACTAATTTGCGATCCCTGACACAAAGAGTTACCTCCAAAAGAACAGGAATGAGGGATCTTGGTTTGCTCAAATATGTGGCATTCTCCTACCAGTGCCTTCACACCGCCAGCTTCCCCTCCATGAGTGTTCCTAACCACGTTAGCAAATGCACTAGGCATGGTTGTTTCTTCCATGTGGAACACAGCAGCAATTACAAGAGCTGTGAAGAGCTCACGGTTACTGACTTCCCACGCTACCTTCAGCAGAACTGCTGGAGCTTCCTGCGTCTCCACGAGGCTCCGCTGCGGATCTCCCACTGCTATGGGAGGGCTTACAGTGCCTCAGATTTCTTTTGGTCTTACCTGAAAAAGGAATGAAAACCCAACAGAAAGAGTTCAGTCTTAAGGACAAACAAACAAACAAAGCAGAAGACAATGTGTCATCGCTCTGAGTTTAAATACTTAAAATTCTTTATCTCATTGTTCGCCTCTGGAACATCATGGAGATCAGTGTATGCAGGCATTACCTGGTCAAGATGGGTAATATCTCTCATGAACATAATGAAGTGATATTTCATTTGTATTTTAATAAATAAAGCTCCCCTGGAGATCAGAGAGTAAAACAGCCCCACTGGGACACACACCTTTAATCACAGCAGCAACACTAGTTTGCCATAGAAACCAGGCAGTAGTGGTGCACACCTTTAATCCCAGCACTAAACGGGAATGTAAGACAAGAAGAGACAGCTCTCAGACAGTCTCATTCTGAGATTCCTGGAAGCAGGATCACCTTTTCAGACTGAAGCCGAGGTAAGAGCCAGTGGTGGCTGTTTTGCTTTTCTGATCTTCAGGTTGTACCCCAATTTCTGTCTCTGGATTTTTGTTAATCGTGCTACAGTATAGCACAATACCCACAGAAAAGCAGTGTGAAATTTGTACAATCCCTTGTTTCTCCACCCTTTACACTGGGACAATGAAAATTAATTAGGACCCCTTCATGAACCTTACGAGTGTGAAAATAATTAACAACAAAGGCTTAATTAAAAGCAGTGACACTTCAGAGATTCATGACATGTGGTTTTTGCTTTTATATAATTTATCTAAATTTACTTTATATGCATTGGTGTGAAGCTATCAGATGCCCCGGAACTGGAACTACAGACAGCTATGAGCTGCCATGTGGGAGCTGGGAATTATATCCAGGTCCTCTAAAAGAGCAGTCAGAAGTCTTACCCACTGAACCATCTCTTCAGCTCTGACATTTGTTAAATGCAAGAAATAAAAATAATCAAAACACCAGCTAGATAAGTGAGGCTACATTCAGAGAGGGTGTTTGCATGACTTTAGGGCAATGGGGCAGTGATTGTTTACTTTTCATTCTTTACACAGCATGATATTTTTTTTATTTTATTCATTTTTATTGTACTCTACATTTTCTCTGCTCCCCTCCCTGTCTCTCCCCTCCCCTTCAACCCCTTCCCAAGGTCCTCATGCTCCCTATTTACTCAGGAGATCTTGTCTGTTTTCACTTCCTATGTAGATTAGATCTATGCATGACTCTCTTAGGGTCCTCATTGTTATCTAGGTTCTCTGGAATTGTGATTTGTAGCACACAGTTTTACAGGTCATGGAGAACATATAATATCACTTTCAGTGGGCCAGAGCAGGAGAAAATTTTACCGCCTATATTTCACCCGAGGCTACTGGAGTATTTAATTTTATGCCATTGTGACCAAAGTGCCTGACAGAACAAAAAATAGAGATGAATGTTCTACTTTGAATCCCTGACACAAAATAAGAGTTTGTAAAAAGTCATTCAGAGACCTCAAAGGTGCAATGTGCATCTCCCTCTGCCTCTATCTTCACGATGCCTCCCTGTAGTTTCTAACAGCTGAGGACACGGACATGAGACCACTTCTGTCTACCACAGTGACTCAGAGGCCAGGTCACACTAACCCAGTTGTCACTTGATGGTGGGAAGGAAAACAAAACCATCTTTCAACTGATAAACTCTGAATAAAACCCTCAACATAAACTGACAGGACCAGATGCCTAGATGCTGTGAGTAAGGACTGAGTGTGTGGACTCCACTTCCTCAGTGACAGTCACTCTGGCAACAGCCTCTATAGTCAGACCAGGCCTGTCTGTGAGGGGGGGCAGTGGCTGCGCTACCCCTGAGTATGTGCCTGGTCTACTCACTCCTTCCTCAATGAAATTCAGGTTTTTCTGTACAGATTTTGTTTCCACTCACTGGTTATCCGGAGGCAGGTCACACAGTCCTGCTTCCTCTGAAGTAAAACTCTCCTTAGCAAATGGCTGAACATACGGACTGCATGGTGTGACCCGCAGTCACACTTCAGTGCTGACCGTTTCTGTACACTGACTGGATAGGCTCCCTACGTTCTCACCAGTCAGCATGGAGACTGACCATGAGTAAGAGCAAATGCCTTTAGAGCAGAGTCCAGAGTCCATGCATCTTCACATGTGGCTCGCTAAAAGAATGAGACGAGATTTATAACAGCATTGATTTTTGTTGTTGTTGTTGTTGTTGTTTTGTTTTGTTTTTGAGGAGACATGGGCCCTAAACTGTGTGGGGCTTTGAGCTCCTGATAATGAGCTAAGCACTTCACCAGTTCCTCCTGGAGTCTATTTCTAGAAGAAATTCAACCACGACACATATGCAGTGTGTTTTCCTCTGCTGTAACTTCCATCATTAGAATCACTGTGCTCACTAGTGGAAGGTCAGCTCTTTCCCACTTACTGTGTTTGGTTCCGATTTGTTGTTGTCGTCAGCCACGGCCTCCTTGTACAGCCCAGGACGACCAGAAACTGTCACAGAGTGAGAATAAACATGGTCTCCTTATAGATTTGTGCGCTACCACTCAGATTTATGTGGTGCTACAGATCAAACAGAGGACCTCCTTATTAAAGGTAGGCACTTTACCAAGTGAGCTATTTTCCCAACACATGTGGACTTTCTCTGTCTTTCACACTTGTGGAAACCCAGGCACATGGATGCTAAGATGGGTTTTATTGTTGCTGTTATTTTGTATCTCTGGAGATGTGATTTGTTCAGGGTACACCTAGGGGCTGGAAGTCTAATACAGTGACTAATGGTACCTTGGTATGGTAGTAAGTGGAATTTCATCTCATAGCACTGATACTAAACCCCAAGTTTATGTAAACAGTATTGATCTTGGCCTATATTCACACACATGTGCATGTCCACTTCTTTTTCTTTAACTAAAAAGAAAAAGTGTCACTCTCAAGCGTCACTCTCAGCAGGTGACAGAAACTGTAGTGGTGCACCTGACAGAAGACAGGCAGCACTTATACAACTCTAATCTAAAATGTGTTTTAAAAAAGTGGCTTCACAATACATACGATATGATTTCTTCTTTGGCACCACCTACAATTTAGAGAGAAGAAATACTCTTAGGTACAGAATAAGATGAGTTCTATTTCCGCATTTTTTTCTCATAGTACTTAGTTTACTGGTAATGTCCTCCTTTGCTGCACAGTTGTTTTAAAGATTGTTTAATATTCTGATATGAAGTCTTAATTTTTAAGTTATATAGGTATTAAGTATTATAGGTCAATAGTCATTCATGTTTGTTATACTTTTAGTCAGCCTAATTAGGTTCTTTAGATACATAAAGATTGTATTCTGCATAGATAGGTAACCTTCAACCACTTCAAAGATCTGTAGAACATGGTATTTAAACAATTTAGGATTCTGCTGATGTGAGACATGATTGCTCCTGGCAGTACCAATCTATTCCCAAGTGCTGGGATTAAAGGAATGCACCAACACTGCCCAGCTAGCTCAGTCGATAGAACATGAGACTCTTAATATCAGGGTCGTGGGTTCAAGCCCAGGCTGGGCACCATGTGTTGACAGTGTCCCACCTGGTCCCACAGCTGTACGATTGCAAAGAAACACAAAGAGGTCTATATTAATTCAAAACTGGTTGGCCTATTAGCTGAGGCTTCTTATTAACTCTTACATCCTACATTAACCCATAATTCTTGTCTGTGTCAGCCACGTGGCTTGGTACCTTTTATCAGTGAGGCATTCTCATCTTGCTTTCTCTGTATCTGGGTGACAACTGCAGACTGACTCTTTCCTCTTCCCAGAATTCTCTTGTTCTAATCACCACCTCTACTTTCTGTCTGGTTGCCCCACCTATACTTGCTGCCTGGCTACTGGCCAATCAGCATTTTATTAAAATACAAGTAACAAATCTTTACAAGGAACAAGACCATTGTTCTGCAGCAAGATGAGGAAGAATAGTCAAGAAAATCATTCTATTTTAGACTGTCATATGATGCTGTCACAAAGCACCTGTTCTTGGATATGTTGTGAAAGAGACGTATTTTTTACACTTTTGCTGACTCAATCTAAATCAGGTCTCCCTATCATTCTACTAAGTGTTCTGGAGGCTATACTGTCACATGAATGAGAAAGTTTGAACAGCCTGATCCTATAAGTCCCTTTGAGAAGTGCCTCCATAATCTAATTATCTACACTAACTTTCATGGTTTGACAACTTCACTGTTACTATAATTGACACAGGAAGCTTCTGTCACAATGAATCTTCAAAACCCTACTTACACTATCTAAAACATAGAACCCTGCAAAAGAAACTGAAGACAATACTTACAGAAAATACAAATCTTCATAAACGATAAGTCAGATACCTTTGAAAATATTTATTTGTGTTATGTGTGATTAAGTATATGGATGTGCACCACAGGTGTGCAGGAGTCCATGGAGGCCAGAAAAGGGTGTCAGACTCTCTGGGTCTGGAGTTACAGATGCTTGTGAGCCACCATGTGAATGCTTGGAATCGAACCTGAGTCCTTTGGAAGAACGGCAAGTGCTCTTAACCACCAAACCATTGCTACAACTCCATCTATTACCTTTTGAGTAAAAATTAAACATGTTAAATATAAAAAGGAACATTTATTCAAGAAGAGAAGGCCTCCTAAAACACACCCAACAGTGGCATTTGAGTCAGGGATGACTTGGTACAATTCCTTTTCATTCACTTCCTAATTAAACAGCTTAATACATATAGTACAATGTTCTTTCGTTAATCAAATATGCTATCTATCAAAAATTAAGGGATCATGAAAATAGCCTTTCTACCATAAAAAATGTGATGCCTATCTTACCTTCGATGATGTTGCCAACTCTTCTTGTGGGGCTGGCAACTGGCTGTCCTCCGGTATAACTAGAACACACACACAAAAAAAATACCCAGTTAAAACTGCAATTTGTGATTGCCAAAATTTTTTCCTTTATATGGGCAATGATCTATGGATTTAGTCCATATGTTTGAGCATAATGGATGTAATTCATTAATACTCATGACTGGACCACTGCTGAACCCTCCACTTCAATAGAAAAGGGAAAGTGGGAAAATACAAGAAGAGAAAAAATGAACAATAATTTTGGTCTCTCTAAGTAATGAGAATCTAAGACAATGTGCAATAATTCACGTTTGACTGAGTGACCACTAAAATGGATCTTCGTGTTTTACATGTGCTCTACCATGTCTTCAGGCCACTCTAAAGCCAAAGAATATTGACACTCCTTTCTAGGAATCTCTCAAACCCATGTCAATACCTACAAACTGAAATACACAGAATTTGCATTTTTCATTAAGAAAATGAGAATTTAAATTCAATAGTCTGCAGACTGTGCTAGAGAAATATATTTCTTTGCAGGCACAAGATATAATTATATTTATATACTTATCCTTTGATACACAATAAGATTACTGAACAGTAGAAGATGCTGACATTAATATATTTTCTAAGTGATAACTATCCATAATGTAGTTGTTATGATCTTCCTTTGATACGCCAAGAATTTGTTTTCATGTGTGACTGCCCAGATTCAGATTAGTGAACCCACAGTGTAGTGGGTTAGAATGAGGATCTGGCCCCTTTGGCCACTCCATATCAAAAGTTTTCACTAGGATGATATAAAACATTGATATGGAATGCTATTCTGAGTTCTTATACATCACATCCCATGTGTGCAGCTCATCCAGTCTCAACACTTCACAAATATCACTAAAAGATATGTCCAATTTTAACTGACTTTATGGCAGGGTTGGAAACCAATGTAGGAATCACAGAATATGTATGCCCAAACCCTCAGTATCTATGAACTAACTAAAACCATAGATTCTTTGTGCTTTCCACATAATAACTAGAAATCTGATATTCATGTAGCAATATCTGCCCTGGGGTTTGTAGCATGGGCATGAAGTGGGTAATGTATACAGTTTATGTAAACTGGTAGAAATCCATACATTTTCACAGATGATGGACCCTCACCTATGGTAGCTTATAACTCCATAGCTGAATGATAGGCACGGGTCAACAGTGTCACACAAGGGCCACATCTGTTTCTACCTTGACCCTTTTCACCTAAGGTAGAGCACCTTGAATACTTTCATCACTGTCTCTCTTTGAGTCTACCCATGGGGGCACACATCTGTGCTGTTGGTGAACGATTTGATAAACATAAGGCATGTGGTATAAATACTCAGGCAAGTCAAGTTATTGGCAAAATAAACAAGTTCTGCCATCTTAGACTGAACCAGACTCATGAAAGTCTTGAGTTCCAAATTCTAAAGCCACTGCTTTTCTATGACATATTCCTGCTTAGCCCAAAAGCAACATTTTTCATTTCATGCAGACTCCAGTGGAAAAAAAAATATGACTATGTAGGCCTAAGTACACACTCATTGAACACTCCTAAAGTGAAATTAGCATTGTTCAGAATTTCCCAGTTGGATGATCATAGTGAATGGAATACCTATTTTAATTAAACAGTCACAGAACACTGGGTGTAACAACACTATGTATTAAAACATTTAATATTTTAAGAGCTGGAAACCCCACCATCTTACATCATTAATGTACCAAAAATTTGCACTTATCTCCATTTGGCCATTAATAAAATCATAGGAAAGTCTAGAGTTCAAATTTTGAAAGAGTTCAAAATGGCAGGTCAGGAGAACTAAGTCACCCAACACATGGAAACAGTTTTAGTCATTAACATCTTTTCAAATCTACACAAATATCTCTGTGAATAATTCTAATCATCATATTATAGGAATACATTATATACTAATTGCTGATTATAAAAAATATTTAGCTTCTATGTTCTTATTCATCAGTCTTTACAATTGACCCTAGTCCTCTACTTTTGTGTATTAAAACTGATTCTACACTGAAAAAGCATTTACCATATTTGACAATGCTCAGCTCTGGAGGGAAGGATGTTGAAAAATTATCTCTAACTGACACCTCTGTCAATTCAGATAGCCCTCAAAATAAATGTTTTCAGGGTAATGAAATATAGAAATTCACGTTCCTGTGAACCATCATATACTGGAAAACACATGCCCATAATTTCCTGATAAAATAAACCTATCAGGTGAAAATGGAATGTATGTTAAAATAAAGATATGATATACACACATTATTATACAAAATGCCTCAAAATATCTCCAAAATTTTTGATTCACTCCAATGTTTTGTGATAGTTTAAATACATATCCTTATCATAATATACTTTATAAAAGTTACTGTATTTATACCACAGAGCATCTAGTAAGGAAGAGCTTAACAACATCAGCTACAATAGTGGCAGAAGTGATGATAAGTTTCTGGTGGCAACCCAGGTGAAAGGACATGGACAAGTTTGCCGTTTGCCTGCTGGCCTCACTCTCACTGGTGAGTTCAGCTATCCTGCTGCTGAGGCATTCCTTCACCAGTCTTAGTACCAATTTCCTTGGGACTCTAATGTAGACTGAAGATCAGCAGCTCTCCAGGACTCCTCCAGAACTCCAGTGCCAGATTGAGAATGCCGAGACATCCAGTCTTTGGACTCATCCACGGCTGGACTTTCACACACGAGACAGCCTTTGTTGAGTTACCCAGACAGCATCTCATAAGCTAATCTAATAAACCCCCTTTATGTACACACACACACACACACACACACACACACACACACACACACACACATACACACACACACACACACACACTCTATCAATTCTGTTCCTTTAGAGGACCCTATTGACAACATACAGGAAAAAGATAAGTAAAATTGCTTTACAGGACAATCAAATACATGTTATAGAAAGGCATAACCAAAACTACATATAATATAAAGAAAGAAATATTTGAACAAAATATTTTGAAGACTATTAACCAGTCCAGCTGAAGGCAGAGCATCCAGTGGTGAATATCATACCTTTACACAGACAGTTATTGCCCATATTAAACGTTTACCACAATCAAAATACAACAGTCTGTATTATCCCAGGTGCTAGTTGAGAAGTCTCAACAACACTGAAATTCAAAACTGAGGCATGAATATGTATAATCACATAACCATGGCAACAGTGTGTTACAGAACAAAGAAGAATAAAGTCACAATCCCTACTGTGACGTCTATAAGCTGCCAGATAGGCAAGTGTGATAATACATGTTTAAGACTATATTTCTCAAAAAGTTAATGGTATGGCAAGATGGCTTGTCTCTAAGAGTGTCATTCAAGCCTGACAACCTGAGGTCAATCACCAGAAACCATGAGGAAATTCGAAAAGTCGTCTTCTAGTGTAGTTTGTACTTTATGTACATATATCCACTCTTGTACTATGGCATACTTTTACCTGTACTCAACACACACACGGGTACACAAAGGAACACACACACACAATAATAATAATACTTTTTTTGTTTTTTGAGATAGGATTTCTCTGTGTTGTTTTGAATAATAATAATTTTTAAAGAAGAGGTTATTATATGTGTTATTTTATGTTCCATAGCCTATTCATAATAATGTAACTACCAAACTGCAGGTTTCCATTACTGCGAGCATCTTTGTCTAAATTTCTGAATTCATGGAGGGATTTTTTTATCTCTGAATTTAAAAGCCGTGCTACTGCTCCCTGAGAAAATAATAGGACATGTCATCTTCTGAGACCATTCTTCTGACAGGGTAAGGGTGTTGGGCATGAACAAAATTATTTTAATGCTCTATATACTATTTCAAATAACATTCAACATGTAGAATTAACTTTGTAGTGTAGCTATAAAGGCCGTCCAGTCACGCATATATTTGCATAAAGGCCATTCAATCCCAAACTTCATGTGATTTGTTCATGAAAACAAGCTATATAAATAAATATAACTTTTTCCAAAATAATAGTAAGTGAAAAAGTCGAGTATATGTGCTGTACTTATACTTCTAAAAAGGCCCTCTTCCTGGTACTTCATATCACAGGACAAAAGGGCACCAGTGTTAATAGTTCATATATGTCAAAATATGTCAGAGAAAATACTGACAGGCTCCGATTGGCATTCTATGAAAACTTTAAGAAGTACCAAGCAGTACACCCAATTGGACAGAGCCTGGATTGGGAATGATGTGGGACATATCTTTAGTAACATTATGTTGTATCAAAATGCCATAACTATTTTTGTTGGAATCTGAGAAGGCCATGGTTGCTTGGGGAATAGGAGAAGAAGAGGGGATACTATAGGGTCTTATTTCAATAGGGAGTGAGGACAAGGTGGAGAGTCTCCTATCCTTTGGGAGGTGATTGTCTATAGTGCCAGAATATCCAGTGACAAGTTCTTGAAAACGGATAGAGGTTGCTCAGAGAGACTGAGAATAGTAGAGGGAGAAGGTGAGAATAATCTTGTCAGGCTTATGGTTGTAAGCCCTGCGAGCCAAAGCACAGGCCTTTAAAACAAGGCAAAAAGTTTGTTCAAATTTTGAAGTGACCTTATGGAGGTCAGCAAACATCTGATGAATTACAGGCCCTGCTCGCCAAAGGGCCCACAAGAAGCCAGTGGTGTCCACAACACAATTTCCAAGAGGAATTCGGTGGGATCATGTCTGCCCAAGGAAGAGGAGGACAAGAGGGAGAGAACCTTGTTTAGAAGTGAAAGAGTATTGGGTGCCAGCTGAATCTTGGCAGAAGAGCATGTGGGACCCTCTAAAAGGGAAAAAACATTTCATGGGCCAGGATTTAAAAGAACAGTTTGAACCAATTAACCGTAGCATATAGTTGCTGATATAGCAGTCTTGAGGGGTCAATCTAAATGATAATGGCCAAATCTGCTGAGTAATGGAGAGCCCCAAGAAAGCATAAGGGAGCAATTTGTATCTTTTCTGGGGCAACCTGTGAGTTTAGGGAGGCTAGATTGCTCAAAAGAGCTTCAGACACACTTTTATGCTTTCGAATGGGTAATAAGGACCATGAATGAACAGGACATCCTCTAGAATTTTGGTAGGGCCTTTGAGACATATATTTGACAGATAGTGAGATTATTTTTTCTGCCCTGGGGTAGTACAATTCACTGGTATCTTTGGGTTGCTTTCTCATATTAGGTTCCCAGACTGTGAGGGCAAATCAATATCTGTCCACTGGTGCCAGGGGCATTTGAAAGAAACAGTCCTTAACATCTAACATAACAATGTGGTATAAGAGGGGTATGGCACCTGGGTGTGGCAGGCCAGGCTGTGAGGTCCCTACTTTACCATTTAGCCATTAAGGACAAGTAGGTCTTGGAAGGGTTAGTAACAGCCTAATTTCTTTTGGATGACAAAAATGGGGGTATTGTATCTACTGGTGGAAGGCTCCAAGTGCCCCACGTCTAATTGTTCTTTGACTAACTCTTTAATTGTCAATAATTTGGGTTCAATGATGGGACACTGCTCCAACCAGACATCATTATCAGGGAGTCATGAGAGGAGTATAGGGTCTGGTAAATTTTTTGTGTGGTCTTTAGGTGGGCAATGACTTCTAGAATTGGGAGTATTGTTCTATCAGAGCATACATCCTGAGAGGCCTATTTTGCCATGGGTCATGATGTCATCAAAAGATGCATTGTCATCCATGATTAGGATCACCCCTGTTTTCCACAATGTCCCTTGCCCAAAGATTACAATGGACATTAGCTACTATGGGGGGAAAAGAGCCCTGGTTGCCATCAAGATCCTTCCAGTAGACTGGACATATGGTGACTCAGGAGTCCTTTTATCTGTCCACCCTGTTGATGGAGAGGCCAGGTCAGAACTTTCTTTGAGGGAACCAGAGACCGATGGTCTCTGTGAGGATGATAACATCTGGTCCCGTGTCCATGAACCCTTTAACGTGTTATCTATACAGGCATATGGTCATCATCGGGGAGTGGGGGAAAACAGGAAAGGTTCAGAACACCTTGTGGGTGGGATTATTCCCTCTTACTGGCAGAGCTGAGGGATTCCCTTGGGGAGTTTAAAGGAGCAGGGTTGTCTGAAGGCTGCAAATGGCAGTCCTTAGAGCAATGGAAGTCTTTGTTGCATCTGGGACATTGTGTCTTTGGATACATGTTAGGGCAGTCACGCTGCAGGTGACCGGAGTTGCCACAGCCCCAACCAAATTGGTCTGGCAGGGCAAAAGGACCTCATCAGTCAGAAGACAGCTGCCCATATGACAACAAGACATTGATGGAGGCAGTCAGGCAGCAATAGGTCCAGCACCAGGGTAAAGGTCCATGGTAGCCAGAACTTATTTATGGATCTTATCATACACAGCAGCCACCACTTTCCAGATAGGGGCATTAAGGCCTTCCCATGTCAATGGTTTAATCAACATTTCCTGAGTTGGAGCCATAGCCACCCTATATTCCACCACCTCAGTAACTCATGTGAAGAAGTTGGCAAATGACTCCCTAGGTTGTTGAACAAATGTAGAAATTAGTAGAAGGGTCATGGGGAGTGCATGCCTTAAGGGACTTAAATGCCAGGTTCGAGACCTGTTGGAAATAGTCATATTGATCAATGGTGGATTGGGACCCTGGATCAATATATTGGCCATGTCAGGTGAGCATATCAAGGTAATGTCAAGCCCATACTGCAGGTTAAGATGGGTCTGTGCCTCTGCCTGGTCATCATAGGCAGAGTGCCACTTAAGGGACTGCAGGCTCCAAAACAGCTGTAAGAATAAGGTACCAGTCATAATGTGTTTGTAGTTGCATATTCCACTGGTAAAGGACTTGTTCAAAGTAGGGAGAATCTGAGCCAGATTGTTAACAGCCTTGTAGATAAGAGAAAGGTCAGTAAGGAGTATGGGCACTCATGGTTGGTTGGCTGTAGGCAGAGACTGTTTGTTTGTTTCCTGGCTGCCCAAACTCCCAAAATTATCACACAGTAACTATATTATTTAATTATTGCTTGGCCAAACACTTAAGCATATTGCTAGCTAACTCTTATATCTTTGGTTAACCCATTTCTATTACTTTATATTTTACCATGAGGCTCATGGCATACCAGCAAGGTTCTAGTTGAAGGCTTGTGCCTTTCTCCTCTGGCAGTTCCATGCTTCTCACTGACTCTGCCTACTTTCTCCCAGCATTCAGTTTAGTTTTTCCTGCCTAGTTCTACTCTGCCCTATCACAGGCCAAGCTGGCTTCTTTATTCATTAACCAATAAAAGAAACACATATATAGAAGAACTTCCCATACCAGTTGGCTGCAATCAATCCCAAATTAACAGGAAGGTCATTGTTGTGTGCCCATATGGCATGTGAAGTACCAGGACAGATGCTACAACATAGGCTGGGAGAGCAGTAGGGGGAGGGGTGCCCATGGAATGAATGTTGGGGCAAGAGGGGAGCTGAAGTTCCTATCATGGGTACTGGGGTGGAGGGATGAGGGCTTGAAAGGGAGTGTGAGGGGCTGAATGCAGCTCTTTGGGAGATGCTGGTTGGTATGAGCTGTACAACTCCTCCTCTTCTAAGGAGTAAGAGGTCTCAGTCATAGGAGGTGTCAAGGTAATAGAGAGATTAACACTGGCATGTTCCTGACATTGCTTATTGTGGGCAGCTATCACTTCCTTCAGAGGGGAGGATTTCAGGCTGGCAATGATGGCTAGTGGGACAAGGAAACAGAGGGGGTCACTCCTGAGTCGACCTCATGCTTTTAGTCAAGAAGGAGCACATGCATCCAAAGGTCAGGTTTCCACATGTTTTGGGCCAATACCATGGCCTCATCTCCAAAATCCTCCAGATCAGCAGTCTTAACCCTAAGGTTTGCCCTTGTATTGATAACCGTAGACTCACAGACGAGAAAGAAGGACATGGAAGGATTCTGTGACAAACCCTACACCCACCCCACTCCACCCCACAAAAAGGAACAGCCTAGACAGAAAACCATCAAAGAGAACTCTTAAAACTTGTGGTAAGGATGCTGAAGTGTAGATCTCCACAAATGATGGTTTCGGGTAGGGGTGCGGGCAGGGAAGGACTCCATTTCCTATAAGGGGCTGGCCCCCTGGAGTTTGGCCATGCTCTGGTGAGTATATGAGCA